ACCATGTTGACCAGGATGGTCTCGATCTCTTGACCTCGTGATCCACCCGCCTCGGCCTCCCAAAGTGCTGGGATTACAGGCTTGAGCCACTGCGCCCGGCCTAGGCAATCTTAATTAGAAGGTAATCATGTGAGAAAAAGATGAGCAACTCAACCTGATTATAATCCTCCCATATAACACAATAAAGCAATAAGTGAAAGGCATTCAGCTATTTACTTATTTGTTTGCCTGGCTGGTTGGTTTTGAGTTATTAGTCACATACTATAAAATTCACCTGACACATTGTATAATCCAGGGCTTTTGGTTTATTCACAAGGCTGTACAATCATCACCACCACGATCTAATTCCAGGAAATTTTCATCACCCCAAAAAGAAACCCCATTCACTAAAGCAGTCACCATCTCCCTATTCCCCACCACTCTGTGCCTGGCAACCATTAATCTACTTTCAATCTATTCGGATTTTCCTACTTTGAAGATTCATATAAATGGAATCATTTCAATATTCCTTTGTGTGTGGATTTCATCGGACATAATGTTTTCTAAGATCATGTAGATGTATCAGTACTTCATTCTTTTTTGCAGCTAAATACTTCATTGTGTGGCTACACCATATTTTGTTTTTCCATTCATCAGTTAATGGACATTTGGATTGTTTCTACTTTTTGGCTATTATGAATAATGCCGCCATGAACATTTGTATACAGGCTTTTGTGTGGACATACATCCTTTGAGTATATATCTAAGAGTATAATTGCTGAATCATGAGGTAATTCTATATTTAACTGTTTTAGAAACTGCCAAATTGTTTTCAAAAGTGGTTGTACCATTTTACAATCTCACTAGTGATATACAAGGGTTGCAATTTCTCCACATCCTCTTCAATGCTATATTGTCTATCTTTTTTACTGTAGTCATTTTAGTGGATGTTAAGTGATATCTCACTGTGGTTCATTGTGGGTTTGATTTACATTTTTTAAATGACCAATGATGCTGAACATCTTTTCTCGTGTTGGTTGACCATTTGTGTGTCTTCTTTGAAGAAATGTGTATCCAAGTCATTTGCCTATTTTTCAAACTGGGTTGTTTATCTTTTTGTTGTTGAGTTGTAAGAGTTCTTTTTTTTTTTTCCCCACAGTTGACAAATGTTCTTAATGTTCTTAATATTCTTGTGTTTGCATCATGGTTGTAAAAAAAAAAAAAGGCAAACAATGCTAGTGACCACTTTGGTAAAAACATACAGTGTTCAAGCCTAAGCAGGATTACATCCTTTGGACAGGTTTTATTCCAGGGATATGGAACCCCTTGGCCATGACAGCCTCTACTGCTTCACACAGCTGTGCACACCACATGTTCACCTTCAATACCTCTCCAGTCTTGTCGATCTTTCTCCACACAATAGCAGCGATAATAGAACTCTGTGAAAGTAGTTGCCTGCTAATACATAGAACCACAAGAGTGTGCAGAAATAAGCCATCTAAAATCTTCTGCAGTATCTCAGGGAATCATAAAATGCACCGGCCTTGTTTCCATTCCTTCTCATGGTGCAAAATAATCTTGGTCTGTCAAGCAGTGTTTTGGAGCATCTCTTCATCAATATTGGCCACGTTTGCAGTAGACCTGGTTCTAGTGAAACCATGCAAAAAGTAAGCAACTGTATTTCCTCTGTCATCTAGCATTTTGTCAAATGAGAAGATGTTGTCAGTCAACCGGTTATGGGAAAGTTCAGTTTATTTAATACAGCCATAAGCAACAGATGTCTAAGTAGTCTTCAATTCCTCTGCAGTTAAGACCTTGTCTTTTTCTTTTTCTTTCAATTTGTCCACGGATCATTATTGTCCTTACTCCAGGCCTATGAGATGAACTGTTTCATCTGAATATATATTAAACTTCTTGTCTTCCCCTAGCATCACACTGAATCCAGCATGGGAGACTTGAGTTACTTTAGGGTCATACCAACCAATCATTTGAGCAGCAGAATATATTGTCTGGAAGTGCAGAGATTGTCCACTGTCCACCCAGAGATAACCGTATCTGCTTTTTCCTCAAATAGTATTTGTTCAAGAGCAGCCAGATCAGATGCATCATAGTTATAACCTCCATCTGATTTTTTTTTTCTTGAAACCAGGTCTCACTCTGCTGCCCAAGCTGGAGTGCAGTGGCATGATCTCAAGGCTCATTGCAGCCTTGACTTCCCTGGCTCAGGTGATCCTCCCACCTCAGTCTCCCAAGTAGCTAGGACTACAGGTATGTGTCACTAATTTTTTTTTTTTTTTTTTTTTTTTTTTGTAGATACAAGGTTTCATCATGTTGCCCAGGCTGGTCTGGAACTCCTGGGGCTCAAGTGATCCACTTGCCTCAGCCTCCCAAAGTGCTTGGATTACAGGCGTGAGCCACTGTACCCAGTCTCCATCTGATTTTACCATAGTTAATGCTATGGAAAATCCTGGGAGAACACAAACTTTCTGCCCTCATCTACTTGTACAAATCATCTATCATCAAATTCCTTTACATCATTCATCCTATCTTGATAGAAGGATTCCCTCTATCCATTAAAAAGATGTCAAGAGCATCATAGATTTTACTAAATTCTTGGCAGGAGACATCACAGATAAACATCCAAGCTTTTATAATATCTAGGTTTTACTCTGGAACAGAATGATACACTGATATGCTCATTTCTTAAACTCCTCCTCAGTACCAAACCTCTTAGATTACTTATAAAAGGCCTGAAGATTCCCAATAGAAGGTGAAACTGTTAGATAAGCTGGAAATTTATTTTGCAGGTGAGCAATATGCATGCCAAACTAGGTCCCCAATCTCCTACATGGTTTAACCTGAGCACATCATATCCTGCAAATTCAAAGAGGCGGCATATGCTCTCTCCTATAATGGTCAACCTGTGGTAGCAACTCAGTATATGTCAAGTTCCAAAATTATGAAGACAAATTCATGCTTTTATGTACCCTTTGGAATACTAGGAGAAGACACACGTGAAAAATTTAATTTCAATAACATGCTATGGGCTCTCTGACAGGATTATGTGTAAGATGTGTACATAAACTTTTACAAATCAAAAAAAAAAAAAAAAAAAAACAAAAAAAAACCAATTTTTTAAAAAATGGGCAAAGGACTTGATAGAAGACAGAGCTGAGATTCTACTTGGGTTAGTGGTTGGAGGTAAAGAAACAAAAATGTTTCCTTAGAGGAAATTACTGCTCAGAGTGTAAATGATGGTGTGGCATCTCCTGAACAGGATCCAAAGAGCCAGCATTTTCTGGTCATGTGTTTCCAATACTGTCCAAGGGGAAGGCATCCTGTCCAGCAAACAAAACTTTTCAAATTTCTTAACGGTTATGTTCTTTTGGTGGAGGCAGTTGCCTCATCCTGTGTAGATATCATCTTTTAAGATTTTAAATAGAGATAGATTTTAGAGACAGAGATATATATAGATATATAGAGATAAATCTATTTATATCTCTCTATACATAAATCTCTGTCTATATATCTATAGAGATATATAGAAAAACTTCTCCAAATTTGTAGCCATCACGGAAGAAAATTTAAAATTAAAGTATTGACTTAATATTGTTTGAAAGAGTCTTCAGGCAAAAAGGAACAGACTAACTAAAAATATAATTGACATTAATAGCCACCCACAGGAGGTCTTTGGTTATATATCTTTGGTCATATATCCTTAGATTTATCTAAAGCAATAAGAAAGCAATCTATATCTATATACTGAATGTAATAGATCTTTATCTAAATAAGAAAAATACTATGATTCCAATAACATATAGACTTTTAAAGAACATAGATAATTTACAAAAGAAAATAAAACATTTTAATCAACACTTGAAAAAAAAAATCAGTCTCAGCAGAATCCATACATTTTGGGGCCTTCATCCAGTCCTGCATGGCCCGTTTCTCTGACTTACCACACTGTAATGGGGGGAAGAGAGTTCTGCACTAAAAAGGATGCTGGGGCCTGAGGAAGCAGGGCCTCCATCTCCTCCATATCTGTTTCTTCAGAACTGTGAAAGTCAGTGTCCTCTGCCTCCATTTGATACATCCTCAGCTTTGCATTCAGCAGTTTCACATTCTTGCAAAGTTTCTGAAAAAAAAAAAAATAATAAAAAAAGAACAATTAAGTACCTTAAAAAATTCAAAATGTCTCCAAGTCTCTCTATAGATAATGCAGAGTGCTTTTGTTCTGGATCACCTCAGGGACCCACATTAGAAATCACACATAGGTCCCAGAAAAAGATCTTTGGCAGGTGCATCTTGAATGGAAGGAGACTTATGCATTCACAGTGTAAGGTAGCACCACAGTAGGAAACTAAACAAAACTCACATGCTAATCTTTAACCACTAGATTATTAATGTAGAAAGATATCCTTGTACTGAATTCGTCTACTCAATTCATTCATCTATGCAAAGCATATTTATTGGGTGAGTCCTGCTACCAGCTTCTAAGATACAGTGTTAACAAAATAGACAAAGAATGCAATCTATTACAGGGGCTCGGGGCAAGTGATAAACACTAAACACATACATACATTCTATATTACATGTTAAGATACATGCTAAAGAGAAAACAAATAGGGTGTGGGATCAGAGAATGGCTGAGGTTTGGTGATGTGGTCATCTAGTCGAGATAGGTGGGATGAGTCGGCCTCAGAGCAGCTGACATTCTTGAATGAAGATATACATGAAAAATGATACATTTATTATTTCGTTGTTTCATTCACCCAATCACATTTACCTCAATGTCTAAGATCTTGTGGGAGGAGTTCAAAGATGAAGTAATTTTTTGAGGTAATGGAAATTAGGAGATGTCTCGATGAAGAGATGACCTGTGAGCTGAGCCTTGAAGAATGGGTAATGTGTAGATATGAAGGGCAACCACCAGATAGTGGGATGAGAAGTAGAGGTAGCACAGGGGTATGAGAGCTTGGGAGTACACTGGAACTGCAAATGTTCTGTTGGCCCAAGCAGAAGGCCAGAGGGGAGGAAGAAGGCCATAAGACTAGAAACCATCATTCTCAGCAAACTAACACAGGAACAGACAACCAAACACCACGTGTTCTCACTCTTAAGTGGGAGTTGGACAATGAGAACACATGGATACAGGGAGGTGAACATCACATATCCAGGCCTGTCAGGGGTTGGGGGGCCAGGATAGTATTAGGAGAAATACCTATTGTAGATAACGGGTTGATGGGTGCAGCAAACTGCCATGGTACATGTATACCCATGTAACAAACATGCATGTTCTGCACATGTATCCCAGAACTTAAAGTATAATATTAATTTTAAAAATAAATAAAAATTTTAAAAAAGAAAGAGACCAGTATGTGTTGCATCGTCACTCTAGGCAAAGAATGACCACTGTATTTAGATATAAATTATCTGATCTTATCATCATTGGAATTGTGTAACTGAAATCTTACCTCCATTCTTTCCATGACTTTCTTTAATTTATAAGTTTCATTACAAGCATTCACCTAAAAAGACATCCACAATTCTCAGTAAAGTGAAATTTATATTTTTCTGGTTTGTACAATAAAATCTCACTTATTCTGACAACCCTTATAAAGTGCTTTACTGAAATTTACTTTTACTCAGTAAACTTCTTCCTCTTAGAGCAAATTCATGGTGTAATTATAAATTGCAGACTGTAAGTGCTATAACCATAGGATTAACAAGATTATTTTCAATACTTCAGAAGTATGCATTTACGCAACAGCAGTTAATAAGAAATCATGCTTCCCTCTACTCATTACTCCTTCCTTGCTCCTTAAAAAACTTCTATTAGGACACAAATTGAAGAAACATAGTTATGTTTCTGAGAAAATATTTCTTTTAAATATTTAAAAATTTTAAATTTGTGAATGTAAGTCTTCATTATGTCAGATTGAATATTCAGGCCCAAGAGCTTTGCAAAAGAGCTGTCCACAAAGAGATCTGGTTCTTTTTCTCTTCTCATGTCTCCTACAGGTTGCCAGGTAGAGATAACAGATGGTTTTGGCTCGTTTCTGTCAGTAAGTACAAGACACAGACTAAAAGCAAACCATCACCTTCTAAGACATGAATGCCAGTTGCACGTGTGTCACAAGTAAAGAATGCCTTTAAAGGTTTTAAATTAATCATACACTAAGAGACATCCAGGATACCCTGAAAAGCAGAGCTATAGCAGGATAAAGAGTGTACTGGGATTCAAGAAAAATGAATTCTAAAGATGACACTTACAGAAATTGATTTTTTTGTTTTTGGAAACAAGGTGTCACTCTGTCATCCAGGCTGGAGTGCAGTGGTGTGATCATGGCTCACTGCAGCCTCTGCTGATCCTTCCACTTCAGTCTCCTGAGTAGTTTGACTACAAGCATGTGCCACCATGCCCAGCTACTTTTTTAAATTTTTTGTAGTGATGGGGTCTCTTTTTTTTTTTTAGCTTTTATTATAGGTTTAGGGGTACATGTGAAGGTTTGTTACATAGGTAAATTTATGTCATGGGGGTTTGCTATACAGATTATTTTATCACCCAGGAATTAAGCCCAGTAACCAACAGTTATTCTTTTTGCTCCTTTCTCTTCTCCCACCCTCTACCCTCAAATAGACCCCAGAGTCTGTTTCCTTCTTTGTGTTCATAAGTTCTCATCATTTGGCTCCCACTTATAAGTGAGAAAATGTGGTATTTGATTTTCTGTTCTTGAGTTAGTTTGCTGAGGATAATGACTTCCGGCTCCATCCATGTCCCCACAAAAGACAAGATCTCATTCTTTTTTATGGATGCACAGTATTCCATGGTGTATATGTATCACATTTTCTTGATCCAATCTGTCATGGATGGGATTTTAGGCTGATTCAATATCTTAGCTATTGTGAATAGTGCTGCAATGAACGTTCATGTTCATGTGTCTTTATGGTAGAATGATTTACATTCCTCTGGGTATATACACAATAATGGGATTGCTGGGTTGAATGGTAGTTCTGCTTCTAGCACTTCGAAGAATAACCACACTGCTTTCCGCAATGGTTGAACTAATTTACACTCCCACCAACAATGTGTAAGTGTTCCCTTTTCCCCACAACCTCACCAACATCTGTTATTTTTGGACTTTTTAATAATAGTCATTTTGACCAATGTGTGAGACGATATCTCACTGTGGTTTTGATTTTCATTTCTCTAATAATCAGTGATCTTGAGCTTTTTTTCATGTTTCTTGGCCACATGTATGTCTTCTTTTGAAAAGTGAAGACAGGGTTTCATCACGTTGCCCAGGCTGGTCTTGAACTCCTGGGCTCAAGCAATCTGCCTTGGCCTCCCAAAGTGCTAGGATTATAGACATGAGCCACTATGCCCAGCCTCAGAAATAGATGCTTAAAGAAGTACTTGCAAGAGCAATCAAAGGCAGGGATTTTTGAGGCATAGTTTGTAATGGTAAACATTGTTTATAAAGCCCCAAATATGCAACAAAATAAAATTAATAAATTCAAATATCAAGCCCTGTATTATACTGGAGTGAAAAAAAAGTAAAATGACATCTACTAGCAGAGAAAATTGTTGAAGAAAAAATGCTAAGTGCTAAAGCAGTTGCAAAACAATATGTGTAATATCCCATCAAAACAACAATGTGTAAATATATGTATAAAAAATTGGAAGAATATAAATATACTAACATGTTCATTGTGTTAGTCTTTAAGGGAGAAGGATTCGTTTTCATTTTTATGTAAAATCATTTCATAATGTTTTGTTAAAATAAGCATGCCGCCAGCCATGGTGGCCCACGCCTGTCATCCCAGCATTTGGGAGGCCAAGGTGGATGGATTGCTTGAGGTTAGGAGTTCGAGACCACCCTGGCCAAGATGGTAAAACCCCTTCTCTACAAAAAATACACAAAAGTGAGCCAGCTGTGGTGGTGTGCCCCTGTAGTCCCAGCTACTGGGGAGACTGAGGCACAAAAATCACTTGAACCTGGGAGGCGGAGGCTGCAGTGAGCTGAGATGGTGCCACTGATCTCCAGCCTGGGCAACAGAATGAGACTCTCTATCTAAAAAAAAAAATTATATATATAATATATATACATATATATTAAAAATTATATGTAATATATATCTACATACACACATACATATAATCGGCATGCCTTACTTCTTTTAGAAGAAAAAATACATGTGTATGTGTTTGTGTGTGTGTGTGTGTATCTATAATGGGAAAGGACGTGCAAGACCAGTTCTTTGCATCTGGAAATATGGACAAGTCACTTCATCACTGCATCTCTTTGAGTCACACTTTTCGTTTCTGAACATGAGGGTACAGGCTAAGCAACAGTAAGTTCCCCTCTGGATCTAAAATTCTGAGTATGTCTTTCATTGAATTTTAGATTCCATTCCCTGAAATTCTCTAAATCTGAGATTTCTTTGAAGCACTGTTTTCTTCCTTAATTGTAAAACTATTTTGTCACTACTTTGTCAAATGTGTTATACAATCCTTCTAATTGCTTTCTACATTTTCATGATCTCCCATTTAAAAAAGAGAATATAAAACAAAAGTTGGAACCAGGTGTGGTGGCTCATGCTGGTAATCCCAGCACTTTGGGAAGCCAAGGCAGGAGAATGCTTGAATCCAGGAGTTTAAGACCAGACTGGGCAACATAGTGAGACCCCCTACCTCTACAAAAAATTAAAAATTGTTGGGTGGGGTGGCACACATCTGTAGTCCTATCTACTTGGAAACCTAAGGTGGGAGGATTGCTTGAGCCTGGGTGTTCAAGACCAGCCTGAGCTGATGACATGATGACATGGCGAAAACCCATATGTACAAAAAAAAAAAAAAAAAGAAAGAAAAGAAAGAAAGAAAAGGCCGGGCGCGGTGGCTCAAGCCTGTAATCCCAGCACTTTGGGAGGCCGAGGCGGGTGGATCACGAGGTCAAGAGATCGAGACCATCCTGGTCAACATGGTGAAACCCCGTCTCTACTAAAAATACAAAAAATTAGCTGGGCATGGTGGTGCGTGCCTGTAATCCCAGCTACTCAGGAGGCTGACGCAGGAGAATTGCCTGAACCCAGGAGGCGGAGGTTGCGGTGAGCCGAGATCGCGCCATTGCACTCCAGCCTGGGTAACAAGAGCGAAACTCTGTCTCAAAAAAAAAAAAAAAAAAAAAAAAAAAAAAAAAAAAAAAAAAAAAAAAAAAAAAAAGAAAGAAAGAAAAGAAAAAGAAAAAAAGAAAAATTAGCTGGGTGTGGTGGTATGTGCCTGTAGTCTCAGCTACTCAGGAGGCTGAGGTGGGAGGATCACCTCCTGAACCCAGGAGGTAAAAGCTTCAGTTAGCCATGATGGTGCCACTGCACTCCAGCCTGAGTGTCAGAGTGAGACCCTGTCTCCAAAGAAAAAAAAGTCATTAATGAATGATATGTGGAATTTAAGCAAAACAAATGATTTTTAGGAGAAAGGCCATTTATGATAGAAAATAAAGTTTGAGATTTAATAGAAGCTGGATTTTTTCCCTTTTGTAACTATCCTGGGTACCAATCTCTAAAACCAATGTTAATTACATCAACAAAATATTACTGACCACATCCTATGTAAGTGGCCACTGAGCTAGGCATCATGCTAGTTGGATATAAGTAACAAGAATATTTATCCCCAAGTAGCTTATAGGTACTTGGAGGATGCATAGTATATTCATTACCAATCCCTGAATTGGGTGGTTTAATTATTTAGAGAGGAGCTGTGCTGTGACAATCACCTTTTATTTGCTATCCTAGTTTATTTGCAGAGTAAACATCTTCATATAGCCCTTTTCAAAGATAAATGGGACAAGGTCAGTCTCTGAATGAAAGTCGAGAAATTCACATGGAGATTTTAGAAAGTTTCATGGCTTGGGGACTCAATATTAGGCCAAATAACACCCAAAGGCCACCTCGAAGTCCTCTCTGTAGCTTGAAGTTCTTTCAAATACTTTTGTTTCTGTTTTGCTCTAAAAAATAATTTTACCAATTTTTCCTCCTCCCCTTCCATGCCTTTCTTAGCTATTCCATTTCTTTATGGAAAATACGTGAGCCAATACATGTGATACTATTTTAATTTTATTAACTTATTTCTCCTTTAATTTTCCCACTTTATCTGCTGTTCCTATATCTATTTCTAACAATCTTCACTTTCCCCTTCATCAGAGTAAACCTACAGCCATTCCTACTAACTTTGTTTCTGTAACAATTGTATTTATTTATTTTGTTGTTTTTGTTTTTTATTGGTTGGTTTGTTTGTTGAGGCAGGGTCTCACTCTGTTGCCCAGGCTGACATGCAGTGGCTCACTGCAGCCTTGACCTCCTGAGTCCAGGAGGTGATCCTCCCCCTTCAGCCTCCTAAGCAGCTGGGAGTACAGGCATGTACCACCATGCATGGCTAATTTTTAAATCTTTTGTAGAGATAGGGGTCTTGCTATGTTGCTGTGGCTGGTCTCAAACTCCTGGCCTCAAGTGATCCTCCTCCCTTGGCCTCCGAAAGTGTTGGGATTACAGGTATTAGTCACCACACTCGGCCAACAATTTAAAGCTTCACCTTTATATATATTATTGCATTTCTTTTTATATAGCCTTTTCCAGCAGACTGTAGACTTCTTGAGACAGAATTTGTGCCATTTTTTTGAAAACACATTTATTTAGATATAACTTACAGTAAAACTCACTTTTTAAATTGTATAGTTCTATGAATTTTGATAAATGCATACTGTTGTGTAATCACTGCTACAAGAAGATATAGAATATTTCCATTGGCCCCTAAATTTCCTTATACCCCTTTGTCAATCCCCATCTCCCTTCCTTCACTAAACCCAGGTAACCAACTGCTAATCTACTTCTGGTTCCTACAGTTTTGCCTTTTACAGAGTTATGTAAACAGAAGCACAAAGTACGTACGTAGTCTTCTGAATCTGGCTTCTTTCACTTAGCGTAATGCATGTGAGATTCATTCATGTTGCTGGATCAATCAGAAGTTTGATCCTTTTTATTGCTGAGTAGTATTCCATCACATACATGCACTGCAGTTTATGCACATGGCAGCTGGCAGATATTTGGATTGTTTCTAGTTTTCAAGCTTGTGCCTGTTTTGTTGTTGTTTTTAATGTGTATACAAAACTGTGTATCCCCAGCATACAGAATTTCCATATATGTGTGTGATGCCTTCCTCTTGTATATTATCCCAAGCCCCACCTTCTAAAAAAAAAAAACCTCACTTTCATTTATGTGTGTGTTTCTCTATCTTTCTCCTCAGTCTTTCAATACTCCTCCTTCCCTACCCCTACCTGCTACTGAAATCTACATTTTTGTAATACTAACAGCTGGCTTTTGGAGGAAATTTTCTAAAGCAGAATATTTCTTGGCCTTTGTACTCTTCCCTTTTTTATAGTTCGCAATTTCCAAAGCCCAAAGATAGTGAAAAAAACTCTTTCAACTCATGCAAAATGAGACTGTGACTCAAAATGTTGGACTATATCAGTTAAATGTAATTTTTCCCCCAGGCAATAGATCTGCACTGATCTGTAAATGACTTTTAATATGTAAGAGGTCCAAATAAATAATACCTTCCTACAATAAAAGAGACTTTTCTCTTTCACTGCTTCCAAAACCCACTCAATTTAAATTCTTGGGCTTGAGTTAAAATTGAAGCTGGCAATTTCAGTTAAAAGAGGTTGTTAGAAACAGACTTTTTTCTTTTTGAGGGACCTTTCTTCAAAGCAAAAAAACTATCTGGCAGGACTCTGAAATCTCACCTGTGTCACAAGTTGATCTCTACCTTTCAGCTGTAATATTCTACTACTAAGAAAATGGAACATTAGGCTGAGTGTGGTGGCTCATGCCTATAATCCCAGCTCTTTGAAGGCCAATGTGGGCAGATTGCTTAAGGCCAGGAGTTTGAGATCAGCCTGGACAACATGACGAAACCCCATCTCTACTAAAATTACAAAAAATTAGCCACACATGGTGGTGCATGCCCATAATCCCAGCTCAGGAGGCAGAGGCATGAGAATTGTTTGAACCCAGAAGGTGGAGAATGCAATGAGCAGAGATCGTGACATAGCACTCTAGCCTGGGCAACAGAGTGAGCTGTCTCAAGAAGAAAAAAAGAAAGAAGGAAAATTGAAAATTAAACCTTTCCTTGAGAAGAGTCTGTAAGAAATGCGAGGAGACACAACATCAGGAAAACTTTGGAGATTGTGAAAACCAACACAAGAACTATTCATGGGGCATCCAAGACAAACACAGGTAGATCCCTTGCACTCTAAGGATGCAATTCTTGACAAATATTTATTTCCTGGATATTCTCTGTACTATTAGGTACTGATACACAAAGATTAAAAAAAACAGTTCTCCATTAAGGTACTCATCTTAAGGTGGCATCGAGATAGAGTTTCTTGATAACGGAGTTTCTAGGTAAAGTAGAAAAGTCTAGGCTTTTTGTGTCATTAGAGAAAACTGTGTTACTCAGGAAAAGGGTGCTCAGAAGCAACCACCAGAGAGCATTCCTGCTTATAAGTCTTATTTCTTGTTATTGCCTATTGTTTAATAGGCAATAAACAATAGGTGACAACAAGAAAAAGACTGTAGGGAGGTAGGGGAGGAAGTGACAGAAATCCCCAGCCTCTCAGTCTTACCCAAATCTCTAGCTGACCTCAGTGTTTGCCTGCTGATCAAGATCAAGGTCCTTGTCCTCCAGCTTTTCAATTTGGCGCTTTAGGGTCAGCATGTCATTTAATAAACTGCAAATAGAACAAGAAATGGACTGAGTCCTGAAGATTAAGAAAAATCACTCAATAGAGGGGATAATTTTGATCTTTCAGAACTGAAACACCATTCTCATATAAAAGGATGCTTGAGTAGTGCTTGTATTGCAATGGACGGTAAGTGAAATTCAAAAAAGTTAAAAGCACTCTAAGTAATCTACATAATATTAAAGAGATATGAAGGCTAACTGGACACAGGAGCTAAAAATTAAAAAGATTAAAATGTAAGTTTATAAAGTTTCTAGAAAAAAACAGAAAATTTGGGGGACATAGGATTAGGAAAAGAGTTCTTAGGGTTATCATCAATTGCATAATCTGTAAGAGGGAAAATTGCTAATTAAACCTCATCAGAATTAAAACCTTTTGTTTGTCCAAAGATTCTGTTAAATGGATGAAAAGACAAATTACACACAGGGAAAAATATTTGCTTAGCATACATCTGGCAAAGACCTTGTATCTACACTACATAAAAATCTCTAAAAAACTTAACATTAAAAAAAAAAAAACCTGTCCAATTAGAAAGTGAGCAAAAGGCATGCATAGACATTTCACCAAGAGGCTATATAGATAGCAAATAAACACACAAAAGGATAGTCAACGCCTATGAGCCATTAGAGAAATGCAACTTGGTACTGCAATGAGATATCACTATATACTTAACACAATGGAAAAAAAGAAAAGAATAGTGATATAACACCAAATGCTAGTGAGAGTGTGGAAAAACTAGATCATTCATAAATTGGTAGTGGAAATACAAAGGTTTCATCCACTCTGGAAAGTTGTTTGGCAGTTCCTGTCAAAACTTAAAACTAGGCCGGGCGCGGTGGCTCAAGCCTGTAATCCCAGCACTTTGGGAGGCCGAGGCGGGTGGATCACGAGGTCAAGAGATCGAGACCATCCTGGTCAACATGGTGAAACCCCGNGCGGAGGTTGCGGTGAGCCGAGATCGCGCCATTGCACTCCAGCCTGGGTAACAAGAGCGAAACTCCGTCACAAAAAAAAAAAAAAAAAAAAAAAACTTAAAACTAACTTATCATATGACCCAGCAATTTCATCCTTGGGTAATTATCCCAGAGAAATGAAGACTTATTTCACATAATACATGCATGTTTAAAGCAGCTTTAGTCATAATAACTCCAAACTGGAAATTACACATTTGTCCTTTATTGGATGAATGGTTAAACACACTGTGTAGATTCATATCGTGGAAGACTACTCAGCAATGAAAAGGAGAGAGAGATCAACACATGCAACAATTTGGATAAACCTCAAAAAAATTACACTGAGCGAAAAAAAAAAACCATGGAACATTCTACCATGAAATACTTGGCAATAAAAAGATACAGAGTATTGATACATGAACATCTTGGATGAATTTCCAAGGAATTATGAAAAAAAAAAAAAAAAGCCAATCTCAGAAGGACAAACTGCATGATTTCACTTATGTAGCATTCATGAAATAGCATAATTATAGACATGTGGAACAGATTTGTGGTTGCCAGAGGTTAGGGATGGGTGGGAGGAAATGTCTGTATAAAGAGGTAACACAAATGAGTCTTATGCAATGATTCAGCTGAGGATCTGATTGTCATGGTTATGAAAGACTACACAGCTCATAAAATTGCACTGAACTATACACACATGGATGAGTGCATGTATAAACAGTGAAGTCTGAATAAGCTCTCTGGATTGTACCAATATCAAAATCTTGGTTTTGATGGTGTACTCAAGTTGGGCAAGATGTTACTATTCAGGAATGCCGAAAATAAGGGTTCCTTGTATATGTATTTTTGAAACCTCCTATGAATCTATAATTATTTCAAAATAAAAAGTTAAAAATAAAAATGGAAGTATAGGTAAAGAGAGTTATAAAAGAAAATAGGAGGAGAGTTAATAAAGAAGACTAATCTGACTAGTCTCATATTCGCCTTCTAGCTTTTCGTCTACAGATCTCTGCAAACTGTAAAGCCCTCTGGCCCAAATGCTTTATAACTAATTCAGAAGATATTTGTTCAGTATTTACTAAGTGCTAGGTATTGTGCTGAATGCTGATGATTATAATAGAGAATAGTATAAGCAAGGTCTTTTTCCTTTTAGAGATAATAATGTAATGTGGATTTGCAGGCAGACAAGAAAATCCATTGAGAATATTATTAATGTTTTGGGTACTTCTGCTTTCAATCAACATGGAGTAACAGGAATTGGATTTAGCCTCCTATTTTAAACAATTTTAAAATGTAAAGAATATATGAGACAATGGTTTTCAGATGTTGAACAACAGACAGTGCAGGATACGGGCCCCTCACAGGTGAGATTGACTCTTTAGTTACTTCAGATTACTCCTGCAAAGAGATTTTGGACTTCAAGTCAGAGAAAGGGGATTCAGGAGAAGGCTGGTGGTCTCCATGAGTTAAGAAGATGAAGTTAGAAGTTCAAGGAGACCACGGAGATTACTTTTGCCCAGCAGAGTGCCAGAGAGGAGACAGCTGCACAGAGAAGAAGCTCCAGAGATCTTCCCACTTGAGAAAGTCCCACTTGGTCCTTCAGCTGAGACATTGATTAGCACACAAGTGTGATTAAACTCCTTGAAATGGGAGGGAAATCATAGCAGATTGAAGTGGGGAGAACAATCTCTAAAGATCAAGCAATGCTGAGAATAATTGCCAGAGTGGAAAATTCTTGTAATACACAAGTCATCAGGTACAATACTCAGAAGGTATTGTTTTAGTAGTAGAGTCATAATAGTCCTAGACTAAAGGCTGCTTTGGTCCTGCCTTACAATAATGAAAAGCAAGCCTCAAAAGGGTCAAACTACTTCTAAATAACTGTGTTCCAGAATAAAGCTCAAAATGTAAGTGTACACACAAATGTCAACATGCTTCTGAATGACCATTCGGTCAAGGAAGAAATAAGGGAGGAAATTAAAATTGCTTGATACAAATGAAAACACACACCTTCCAAAACTTATCAGAGACAGCAAAAGCCAGACTGAGAAGGAAGCTTACAGCAATAAACATCTACATCAAAAAAGTAGAAAGATTTCAAATAAACAATCCAACTATGCACCTCAAGGAACTAGAAAAGCAAGAATACACCAACCTATAAATAACAAGTAACCCAACAACCCAATTTTCAAAATGGGCAAAAGATAAACAGAATTTCATCCAAGAAGATATACCTATGGCAAATAAGCACAAAAAAAGATGTTCAATATCACTAGTTATCAGCTAAATGCAAATTGAAATGCATTTAAATGGTTGCAGTAAAAAAAGAAGCTGATAATATCAAGTGCTAGTGAGGATGCTGAGCAACTGGAACTCTCATACACTGTTTGAAAGCCATTTTAAAATCATTCAGTGGTTTCTTAAAAATACAAATAGTACACTTATGATACAACCCAGCATTCCCATTCCTGATTGTTTACCCAAGAAAAATTAAAATGTTCACACAAAATCCTATACATGAATGTTTATGGAATCTTTATTTATAACTGCCCAAAATCCTACATGTTCTTCCATTGGTGAATGGATAAAATGTGGTATATTTATATAATGGAACACTATCTATCAATAAAAAGAATCAAACTACTGATACATGCAACAGCATGGATAACACTCAAATGTATTATACCAAGAGAAAGAAAGTAGACTCAAAGACTACATGCTGTATGACTCCATTTATGTGACATTTTGGAAAAGGCAAAACAATAGGGATAGAGAACAGATCAGCAGTTGCTAGCAGCTTGGCCTGGGGAGTGTGGTTAACTATAGTAGAGCATGAGGGATTTGCAGTGAAAAAAGTGTTCTGTATCTTCACTGTGGTGATGGCACAACTGTATGCATTTTTCAAAACTTGCAGACCTGTATGCTAAAAAATATAACTTTACTGTATATAAATTATACCTTATTTTTTAAAATGTAATTTATGTTGTTGAATCAATAAAACCACAGAATTTTTTTAAAGAATATTATAAATGCTTTGGAAGGTTTTAAAAGAAAAAGCCCATTTTGGATAGGATGGTCAAAAGAAGGCCTCTGTAAAGAGAGGTTTAACTGAAAGGTGAGGAAACAGCTAGAAGAGTAGCTGTGCTGTAGGAAATAGTTTGAATGTGGTAGGAAAGTTCAGAAGGCCAGGGATATTTATGTCTAAGAATAGCTTCCATTCATTAATAGTTATACACCAAGCCTTGTGTTAAGTTCTTTACATACAGAATTTTACTGACTCCCCACAATAAATCAATGAAGTAGTTGTTATTAGTTTCCTTTCACAGAAGAAGAAAGCTGAGGCTTTCAAAAGGTTGGTTAATTTATCCCAAAAATGTCAGTATCAGGAATCAAACCTGGGTCCCTTTGACTCCAAAGCTCATTTTCTTTATACTAGTGTCTAGGTAAATAACAATTTATTTCATCCTTTTTTTTTTTAAAATCTTAAATTTTTTCATTTAAATTCAGAGACACACTAGCAAATACACTTTCCATTTTTTTTCTATGACATGCTGGCTGGCTTAGCCAATATTGAATAACCCCTTAAGGATGACTGGAGACCTAAAGGCCTTCCTTTGACTCTAGTAACACAGACTCAAAGAAACAATGTAGGAGAGAGATCTTCTAGAGAAGAGAGAACAAAGATACAGGTAACTTGGATTTAATTTTTGAGATTTTGACATTGGCTTCTAATCATAAGACTTCTTGTCCTAAATACTTTATCATCTTAAGCCCAGAGTATCTTAAGTTTTTAAAGCTATGAAACTTTCTGCTATTTTATGACCAACCCCCGATACCCTACAATTACCTCTTCACTGTTTTCTATTTCATATATTTTTTAACAATATTGTCAATTTTCTCCGTTCCATTTATGTAATCAGCTCCAAGTTCTTTCACTTGGAGACCTATCTTTGGTTCCAGCAGTTTAGCTTGAGGAGCATGTCCGTTAGACACCTGCAGAAATATTATGATGATCAGTTTCAAAGCAGAAAATGGGAAACAACTCACATAGCCTGAAGCATTCTTCCTTTGAATAGCGAGTTGATCTGTTTAGTCATCCTTGGCCAGGTGGATATACAAACCTCAAGAAAAGAAGTTTGGGCATTTATTTGATATCCACTTTAACAGATATTTAAAAGACTTGATGAAACAAAGCATATTTTCTGTTTAATAAAAAAAGATATATTTTTAAGTTCCTTGTGTGGAATGAATATTAAATACCGATATTAAGATAGTGGTTACAACATGGTGGGGGAGGAGAGGTATACAAAAGGGAAAAGACCCAAGGGCTTTACAACATACTCTTAATGATAATTATAGTTTTCCTATCTAGAAAATTATCTGAGAAGGTCGAAATATAATTTCAGGCTCCAAAGAAGAGTTTGCTCTTTCTTTTTTTCCTGTGCTCTGTCTATATCCCTAAAATGTCCTTACTCCACATTATTGCTAGATCATGTAGTTACCTATGCACAGGAGTGCTTCATGGTTCAAGACATGTATGAATTTTAAATCTTCCAGACTTTCCCTAAGTTCTCTGCTTAAATTCCATTTCCCCCTCCACACATTATTAAATGCTCTCTCTTTCATGTGTCAAGCCTTACAACTCAAGGATGTTCTTCTTTGAAAACTGCAGAGATGTAGACGATTGAGAGCCCTCATCAATATCTGTTCCTTGCTCATCCTGTTCCCTCAGGTCCTGGTCATGCTCAGCCTCCAGCTCCAACATATCCTGGTAAAAATGATGATGGAAGGAAAGCAGAACAAAAGGTTGCTATGAGATGTGGTGGTTCTTTCAACCCTACCCAATCCCCTTTCTCTGGGGTCAAGCATACAGTCCTCTCTGAGACTGGAGCCTTCTGATACATCTGTAAGCTAAGCAGACATGCCCTTCTGCTCTGTCTATAGAGGAAGGCTGGGGCAAGGGCATAAAGAGAATCAGTGTCCACATGCAGAGCTCTTTTCAGTCCTGATGAGTAATTGAATTCCATCTGACCATGGACTCCAACATTCCACTCAAATTAGATGACTGTTCTGGTCTATTCAAAAAACAATCAATGTCACAAAAAAGAAAAGGTGGTGGGATTATTCTATATTAATAGAGTCTAAAGAGATAGGAAAATCAAACATGTTGCATAGCTCTTTTAGGATGCCGGTTTAAAAAATATGGCTGTAGAGGACATTTGGGGACAATTAAAGAAATTAGAATGTTGAGAGAATTGAGATTAGTACATTAGCGCTAATTTTTCCAGATGTAATAACCGTATTTTGTAGCAAAAAGTTTTATTTTCAGAGATGTTTTTTGAAGTAAACAGGAGTGAGGTATCATGCTGTCTTTGACCTACTTTTAAATGGTTCAGAAAGTTTCATCTATTTATATATATAAAGATAAAGGCAATGTGACAAATGTGAAAGACTTTTTAATCACAGGTGTGGGAATATGGTTAACCATTGCATAATTCTAAGTTGTCCCTTTATTTAAATTGTTTCATATCAAAGATTTTGGGGGAAAAGCCTACTCTATTAGTTTGATCAATAAAATTTACTTTTTTGTTTTGGTATTCTTTCCGTTATTCTGGAAAAACATCTAAGGCATGTTCTTGCATTTCAAGTCTCTGCATGCAAAAATGGACAATAATTTATCCTTGAACACTTCTTTAGTAACTATTTATAAAATATTTCTTCTGTCCTTTGAATAAGTTTGATCTGAATTTCCTGTGTTTCAGCAGAACTATTTTTCTTAATTGTACTTTAGGTTCTGGGGTACATGTGCAGATCATGCACGATGGTTGCATAGGTACACACATGGCAATGTGGTTTGCTCTCTCCATCCCCCTGTCACCTACATCTGGTATTTCTCCCCATGTTATCCCTCCCCAACCTCCCCACCCCCCTGCTGACCCTCCCTTTCCCCCTGCAATATACCCCAGTGTGTGATGCTCCCCTCCCTGTGTCCATATGTTCTCATTGTTCAACACCCGCCTATGAGTGAGAACATGCAGTATTTGATTTCCTGTTCTTGTGTCAGTTTACTGAGAATTATGGTTTCCAGATTCATCCATGTCCCTACAAAGGACACAAACTCATCATTTTTTATGGCTGCATAGTATTCCATGGTGTATATTTTTTCCTTGTCCATTCTATTGTAAATGGGCATTTGCACTGGTTCCAGGTCTTTGCTATTGTAAACAGTGCCACTATGAACATACATGTGCATGTGTCCTTATAACAGAATGATTTATATTCCTTTGGGTATATATGCAGTAATGGGATTGCTGGGTCAAATGGAATTTCTATTTCTAGGTCCTTGAGGAAGCGCCACACAGTCTTCCACAATGGTTAAACTCAGAACTATTTTTAAACTGGAAGGAGAAAAGTTTGGAGCAGGGAGGATAGATCAGTCTCTTTTTTAAATGTCTGTGTAAACTACTGGCCAAGTCAATACAAATAACTAACATTCATGTAACTCTTTACAAATTACTTTCATGTGCATTATTTATTTTCATTCTTGTATGGCCATTTGTGTTTAGTGGCTTGCCCAAGGTCATAGAGTATAGAGAGTTAAGTGGTGGCCCCAAACAGGAATGTCCATGTCCTAATACAGAACTAGAACCCCATGCATATTATTTTATTTGGACAAAGAGTCTTTGCAGATGTAACTAAGAATCTTCAGATAAGATCATCTTGAATTACTTGAATGGGTTCCTAAATCCAATGACAAACATCCTAATGAG